AACATTCATGGAGTGAAGAATGAAACAAGGAAACCTTGTGTGTGAAACTGTTAACAGAGTCATCTTGAGCACCATGTATTGGAGGATGGAGTAAGGGGGACCAGAGCAGACCAGTAGGGAAGGATTCACCCCCTGAGCTATGACACTCTCCATTGTTCCACTGACTCTGTCCACAGATACAGACACACCACTGAAATGCAGGTCTGGCTATGGAAAAGCCAACCAGTCTTTGTCCTCTGCTTTAAGGGACACTGTTATAAGCCTGACCAGAGACAGACATGAAATCCCTCCTATCTCTGGACAGCAGGCCCTAAACTGTTGAAGCAATTGGGTGTGTTTAGATTATGCAGTGGAGAGCTGTGAGAAAGATCTCAAGCTATCAACTGGGGCCAAGTAACATTCATGGATGATGAAGCAGAACAGGCACAGCAGCAGACAGCCAGACAAGGGTTAGATGCATCCCCTCAGCTGTGCCCCTGGCTGCACTGGTCCCAGGGATGGTGGGCTGAGCACTGCTCAGACTGTAGCAGAATGAAGAAGGCCAGTGGGGCAATACTGCACTGAACAGCTCCTCAAAAGAACCGTCATTATGTAAAAGACCCTTCCAAATCCTGCCAAAACAAAAACAGCATCAGACAGGCTGCTCTCTAACTACCCACACAGTCAGGCTGCTCAGCCCCACATCCAGCTCCCTGGGAAATATTGCCGACGAGGAACCCAGGAGGCTCTGCTGCTGCAGGGTCAAATGGTTCCCAAAGTCTTACAAAGAATTCCGCTCTGCAACAAGCCTCAGCCTATGTGATTTAATAGGAAGTGATGATTTTTGATGCATTTATACCAGTGAACTAAACTTGTGTGGTTTTTGGTTCTGTTACAGTTCAGGTTCAGCAATTCTCAGCTGATCTAGTTAAGTCTAAACTGAATCATGTTGAAAGCCACGATATTTTCAAACAAAAAGGACTGTGTACTGAAGGCAGGAAGCTACAGTCAGGCCAGAAACATGACTCCACTCTCCTGTGTCCAGAACAGCTTGTGGTCCTAGCCGAGCCCTGCAGCTTCTCCGGGGATTAAGAAGTTGGAGAACTGCATTGGGAACGCAAGGGGCACAACAAGACACAAGGGGTCTCAAGCTTCCATGGATCTGCTTCCCTCTTAAATCTGTGAAAGCTCTCTGGCAGGACACAGAGGTACACATACTTGTTTCTGCTGGCTGGTAGTAAGAGACCATGCCTCACCAAAGGAGGACGAAAAACCCTGTCCGGAAAACCCGGAAAACTAGGAGCAACTTAGGGCTCATTTTCAGAAAAAAAAGCTCTCCAAAAGGTCCTGCAGAGTCACCCAGTCCAACCCAGTATCATGAGGCAGGAACAGCCACTCCAGCTGTACACGTTCATGTCCCACTTGGAGAAGGGGCAGACCACAATACAATAGTTCCTGTGCAGAATGACTTCGTGCTGAGGAATGTCAGGTTTTAGTCAAAGCACTCTTTTTAAACTGGCAACTTGAAATATTTCTGGCTTAGAAAAAACAGGAGAGATCAAAGAAACAAGCATAAATTCCAAATATGTTTCTTTGATTCGCTGGCTTACCGTTTTAGGGAAAGCCTGTAGCAGGTTTTGTAGCAATTTGTTTCTAAGCTGACATTTGTAATCTGGTTTGACTGAGGATACCAGAACACATACACCCTTCCCCCTCCCCAAACAGACACAGCTTTCTCAGTTAAAAAGAGGTTTATATTTACAAGCATAGAGCTCAAGAATACAAACAGCCCCTGCAGGAACTGTACCTGCTCAGGTACATTACTTCTGTGAGCAGAGAGAGAGTTGTGTAGCCAAGTCGAAGGGTACTACAGCAAACAGGACCTTTTAACTCTTTGCTTCCCCACTGTCCTGAGAGTGCCACTCATGCAGGGTGATTCAGAGGCACTCAGTGCCCAGTTTTTAACCCCATGTCTCTCCTGGAATCACAAGCACCGTGACCAGAGGCATGGCCAGGTTTCTGGCAGGGCCAGTAATCCTCTAGAAATTGAACGCGCTCCAACCAACTTATCTAAGGAAATTTTAGATTCCAACCGCCACACTGACACGTTACAAATCCCAACAGTCAACAGGCCTAGACTTAAGTCACAGTACTCTATGTCTATATTGGTTCAACACAAAAAAACAGATCTGGAAAGGACAGAAAAACTGGATTCAAGCCATGAACATCAGAAGACAAAAAAAAAGCCTACACATAAAACTAGTCAGGCACCAACAAAAATCAGGACTCCCATTAAAAAAAATAGTTTCAAAAAACAGCAAAAAAGCCAAACACTTCATCCAGTTTATCAAAAAGTTTTATTTAAAGAGCTTCCATTCCTCCTCCACACCATTTTTTTTAATACCCTTGATTACCTATTAGCTCCTTAGTTTTACTCCTATAGAGATCTCCTGGAGCTGTACAGTAAAACCATGCATTAATTACAGCAAGAAATAAGTCCTAATAAAAGTCACAAAACAAGTTCTCTCTTGTACAGCTCCCAAGTAACACACTGCATGTCCTGCACCGCTATCATGCAAAATATCTCTGTGTACCCACACTCCCCCTTTCACAGCAATGCACAAACAGGTCTCTGCAGAGCCAGCCTCCCACAGCCTGCCCACGTCCAGCCCAGCACTACACAGCTGCCTCACTGAAAGGAGGCAATTTTCACAGGCCTTCTCTTCAACATGACAAACTGCATAAGGGGTCTGTCCCTAACCACCGAGACAGCCTGGCAAGCCTCACACTGACAAAAGAAAGAGTAGGACACCAGGGACACTTTCCACTGGAAGGGAAAATCAGCACATGGAAGTCTAGCCAGTGCTACTGAGGGTGCCTGTCCATCTTAAATTAAGTAGCTCATTGCAATAAAAGCTCCATCAGCAGAGATGACCAACTTCATAGGCCCTTCCATGCTTCCATGTGACCAATTGCATACATCTCTTGGAGCAGTCATTTCTCAAGAAGTCCAAGAGACAAAGATGCCTGAAAAATTCCTCCCTGCAGGTCAGAAAAGATTCCTCAGGAGCATATGATGCTCAGTTTTAGTCCCAAGGGATTTACACTCACACCAAATAGCATACTGAGATCTGTTTCCTGCTATTTTAGAAAAATCGAGCTGCTTCTCACCTTGGAAAGCAGAGGAGCAGACCCATGGCAGAGGGATAACCACATATGTCAGATCTCTGGTAAAGGGCCCACTCCTTTTTGCCCTGCCTGCTCCTTTGCCTGTCCCACTGAAGGCAGACCATAACTCATTTGAGCTAATTCAGAGCAGATTACTTGAGAAAACCAACACCAGCACCTAACTCCTAATAATGACAAATTGATTCTACCAGCAAACTCCCCAGCAGTTCCTTTGCATCTCACTGATTAACTGCTCTTATTAGTAAGGTATACAAAATCTAGCCCTGAAACCCTAATTTGATGGTGCGGAATGAATCCATGATATCTCCAGGGGCTCAGGCAGCCCTGACAGCACACTGGGAAACAGCACAAGGGATAAAATGGAGCTCTTCTAAAAGGCACATGTAAGGAAAACAAAATGAAATATGTACCAGAGAATACCCAGGGTGTGTAGCAACAGGTCCTGGCCCTGAAAAGGAGTGTGCAGACCACAGAGCCAGAATCCAATTCCCACCATACTTGGGGAGGTATAGGTGGCTTTTGTCTCTTCCAATGGAAGTCTCTGCAGAATACAGACAGACCAACCAACTACTCTTCAGCAACAGCTAGAAAGTACATTTCACTGGCAGTCCACAGGGTGCATTAAATGCAGCACATGCACACGCCGAGGTCACGCACAAGCACTAAGGGCTCTCCTCTAGACAACTTTGAGGAAGCCATACAGGGTTTTCTCTAGCATGGCAAGACAAGAATATTGTGTTCCTTGGTATTAAAGAGCCATCTAAGGGAAACTTGGACCTGAACCAGAGTTCTGAGAACAGGATTTCATGCTGGGGACAGACAATTTTTAGGTACAGTGCCATTTATTTCCTCTGAAGTTTTACACATGCTCTTCAAGAGATAAACTTTGAAGCATTACTGTGTTGAGACCAACAAATGCACTTTGCAGACATGGATTACAAGCATTTCTTATTTATTAGTGAGTCTTCTCAAAAGGGGAGGGATTAAGCTTTCTATTTATGGAGAGAGAGCTGCACAAAGGCTGAGTGATTTGCCCAGGGTTACAGGAGAATCAGTGGCAGGGACAGAAGAAGGTGCCCTGACTCAGAGGTGACTTGTCAGCACAAGGCAATGCCACCCAGCTCCTGTTCTCCCTGAACCTGAGTTAAAGTCATCGTCCTTTCCTCATGACACTAGTCAATTCCCAGTGAGTGACTGTCTGTCAGGAATTCCTCACAACACCAAGAACGATGGATTTTTCTGGTAGAACCAATTATATCCCATAGAAGATATCCCCAGGGAAAGGTGTCTGAGGTGCACAGCTGAACACAGAAGAAAGAACATCCAGGCCTGTGGAACGCAAACACCAACAGAACAGACATCTCCAAGACATGTTTCGCATCCTTCATCTTTCAGATCATCCTTCCCCTCCCACATGTTCACAGAACATCCTTTGCAGGGTGAGAGCAACTGCTTACACAGAACAGTTTCTGCATCCTTAGCTGCTGGTAATGCAGGTTAGCAGTTCATAACATGGAGGAAGAGGCAGCATTATATTTCTCCTATCAGTCATCTGTAACAGCTCTACACACTACAGTGTGGGAAATCCCAAAAGCTTTCTGATACAGACTGGGTACATACCACAGAAGCAAAAAGAGTTTCAGAAGAGAAATAAAGGTTTTAGCAAGGATCTGCAGCACAGCGAAGATCCCAGCTAAAAGACATACCAGTCACAGATCAGTGTCCCTGTATCATTCTACAGTTATACAGGTCTCCCAAAGCAGCACTGTCAGTATAGATGGAAACTCAGACAACAAAGTTTAACCACGCTAGCTGCGCCACATAGCACTCACCTTGCTGCCTATATCCTCTCGCTTGTTCCCAGGCTTGCTTCTCCTCAGCTTAATGGAAGGGGAGCGAAGTAGATTTTTGATCCGACTTGTTATCGTAGACCCTTCAACCGACATCATCTCCAGGTGCCACAAGGGTATTCACCCCACACACAGACACTGGGGAATGAGCCCAGGTTTGAGGCAGAAATACCGATGTCCTCAGCCTTGCTCACACTCGTTCACATATCTCTCAGCGATTCTGCTCGGGAACTCCACTCCTGTTACTCTGCAAAGCTATTCAGAGAGGCTGGCAAACTTCCTTTCGCAGATTCCAGAGGATCAAATCAGCAGTAATCTAAACTGAAAGATGCACCCGTGGGTCAATACAACACTCACAATAAATTCTAGCCTCAGTCTTTGCAAGAAACGTAAACTCAAGAGCTTATGATAAGGATGGATGCAGCATTACTATTCTCCAACGCTTCCACATAAATTATCATCCATTTAGTATCAATTAGCACATCTAAACCAGTTCCCAAATCCAAAATTTAGATGTTTTACACTTCAGTATCATCTTACGACAAAGACAAAAATTCCCACCATTGGAGTCCATTAACGGAGTCTATCCAGCCCCTTGCTTTTGCTCCATGCTCATCCATTCCACCTTATGTTTCACAGTCTGGAAAGCACAATACCGTACTTGACTATTAAATGCCTAGTCGCAGAAGCGCCCCGAGAATACACACGAGAGAGTTTTTAACTCTCAAAAATTTATCTCCGCTATAAGTGCATACAAATATATAGTGTGCGATACCAGATAATAAAGGCACATAATGTTCCCACAACCCCCCACCCCCTATTTATGAGGTGGATCATGGAGGCACTACAGCTGTGCCAACGATTACAGACCCCCGGCCAAAACCTTCACCTTTCCCGGAGCGCCGGGGGTGAAAGAGGGATGCAGTCAGAGCCTGCAGTGAGATATCCTCCCGGCTTCCGTGCGAAATGGGGGCGGGGGAGAAAGAGAGAGAGAGGGAGGAAGGGAGGGA